GCAATCAAAGCGACACTGAGTCTACTTTAAATACACCGACAACCGTGGTCATGATCTCTTCAGACGGCATTTTCTTTAACATTCTTCAAGGCTTTGGTGGCGAGCTGTACGGCTCCTAAAGTGGTAAGTAGTGAGCCCTTTCGGCATACTGGATCCGATGCTGCCTGAAAATACATGGTATTATCTGGAGTGTCGCGACACTCAGCATGCCTTGACACTTTCACCCCTTATTATCTGGACAGAAATAGCCTGTGGTCTGGAGTCACATCAATTGTGACATGCTGAGAGAATTGTAGTGACCCGGGGAATACCTTCCGCGTTCCCAGGAGTAACAAAGCGCCTTGGGTCCTCAATGCTGATTTTGCCATCAGAAAGTAAACCCCTGGATCCATCGAAGAGATCCTAGGAGCATGATGCGACCTATAGCTGGACGCTCTAGTCGGATGGACTGGGCCAAGGATTGGAGCCCTTTATAAAGCTGCCCTCCTGTCTCTTGACCTTATGCCAGGTTTCTCCCAAATTCACACCCTCTCACACTTCTTTTACATCATGGTTCGTCAAGTCTTCTCACGACATATTGCCCATGGGAAACTAAACAGATTAGTAGTCTCAAATCGGAGACCTGCCTCCAGAAATAGTGTTGAAAATTGCCACATACCTACATGGTAGCGCAAAGTTCGCTCTTGCAAGATCCTGCAGGTCGCTGAACCACCTTCTACGAACGACAATTCTCCAATTCAATATCGAATATCAGAACCGCAATCTTCTTGGCCTAGCCGCCAAAGATGACAATATTGATCTTACGCTCATGTTGCTTCATCACGGAGCAAACGTCAATGCCTTCTTTCGTAGGAGAACCCCGGTCATGAGGGCCCTCAAATACTCTTCATCCACCGTGCTCAAGCTGCTACTGAAAAGTAGTAAGCTAGCTATCAGTGTCCAAAACCGAGAGCAGGAAAGCGCCCTGTGGTATGCGGTCAAATATGGCTCATGCTCGACGCTGCAGCCCATACTGGAACTAACGGACTGTGCAGTCGATCTTCGGCATCAGAGAGGCCAAACCGCACTCCACCTCGCCGTCTGGTGGGGCAAAATTGGGTTGGCGGAGTTGTTGCTGTTCAAAGGCAGTGACCCCTACTTACCCGACGAAACTGGCAGTTCGCCCTGGGCATGGGCCGCCCGATATAACCGGCCGTCTATGAGAGCCGTTTTTCTAAAGGGTCAAGACTGTTTTCACCTAGTGCAAGATAATTTCGATGAGCCAGCGCTGCATCAGGCGATTCTTCATGGACCGGTGGATGCTGTGAATGTGCTCTTGAGACAAAAACGTCCTGGTGTGGCGACGATCGATAGTCATGGTGCGACAGCACTCCATCTTGCTGTCCGCAGTCGACGCTTGGAATTGGTTGTCCTCCTTCTCCAGCATCCCCATTCTGACGTGAACTGTGTGGATAATGTTGGAAATACACCGCTTTGGTGGTCGACGTTTCTGTCATATGACGAGATAACGGAAAGGCTACTCGCTGTAAAGAACCTTGATGCCAACTTGATCGGCGGCTTCGGTCGGCTAGACACACCCTCGGCACCACTACACCATGCCGCGACTCGACTGGATACCACAATTTTGAAGCAGCTGCTGGCAGCTCCAGGTATCGATCTGAACATCTGCGCCGCAAGACAGACCCCTTTTTCTGCCGCCGCCGCTGCAGGCCGAGTGAGCGCAATGAGAATCCTTATGTGTCAGAGGGGCGTCGAAATCAATACGGGTGGAATTTTAATGGATCCTCCTCTCTGCCAAGCGGTGGTAGGAGGCCACTTGGAGGCTGTGAGACTGTTGGTGCAGCAAGGACAGCGACTCAGAATCAACCAAGGTACCTTGACGATGCATGACACGGCTCTGGGGATTGCCGCTCGTGCGGGTGACCTGGAGATAGTCCAGACTCTGTTAAGACACGAAAGGATTGACCCCAACTTGGAAAACCGTTGGCTGGAGTCTCCGTTGGTGTTGGCAGTCAAAGGCGCCCATGTCCTTGTCGTCGACGCTCTGCTGGCGGATCCAATGGTGGATACGTCCAGTTTGCGAGTCGCACGAGCAATCGCGACACACGAGGGTATCCGAAGGGCCATTCAGTATGAGATGGATGATTGCAGAGCCCGCTGTGAATCGATTAAGGCACACTGGTCCCTGGAATAGTGGACGCGGGTAGTCTGCGTGGACGGGTGCTGAGGTAGTGCTGCTTGAGGTGCTGAATATGGGCTACAGAAAAGTGCCGACCAGCACTGATACACGATGCGCAACGTGCACTGCAGCGTATAGCGAGCATGAAAGGAAGATAACCATTGATCTCACAAGACGTGGTGGTAACCAGATTGCCTTGAGAAGCTGCAGAAACTGCGTTGCTCTTGCCACGGGTTTTTCAACGTCGTGCATCAAAGGTTAGAACGTGCGTGGACTGTCTGTCAACGCAACACGGGTGACGAATGGCCCAGGATATTTGATGGCAGGGATTTTGTCTCCCACAGTAATATGCTATATTTAAAATCTATGGAAACCCGCTCTGTTGTGCACAATCAATCTTCTCCCATTCTTCTCCAATGAATCCACTCACTACATGCTCCTCACCAGCCGACCGACCGGCCAAGAGACAGCGAAGACTCTCTGATGACACTTGCAACGACCCGAACGCAGAGGATATTTCACCCGCTTCACACTCTACCGCAGCGAGCAACCTCCCTACGACGCAACTTAAGCAAATCCTGCGCCGCAATGTCGACCTCGCCCTACCGGCCCTTAGACTCTTGGATCTGTATCTATGTCTATGGGAAAGTTATGTTGTGAAATCGGCGGAGGGTATCTGGCTTGAAGATGAGCGGCGCCAGTTATGCGAGTCCAACGAATTGCTGGAAAAAGAGACTGATAGTCTTCTTCAGTGCTGCAACCGACAGGCAGTGGAGTTAGAGGGCCGAAAACGGACAGTGAAGGCATTCCACGGGAATGTCATGTCGGCCTTGCAAAACATCGACCTCCCTTACTATCACATTGAAAGACCTTGATTCATGCATGGAGCCATACGTCTTTTGTCCGTCAAGGAATACTTATTCTTTTCGATAGTACAACTTCGGCTGGAACTTCCACGGAAACGTGATTGGCCATGTATGTAAAGCACGGCAAAGCTCCACGACCCCTTAATTGCTGTCTTGTGATATTTCTTAAATAGCTTCCATGACTTCAATTCTCAGCCACCTATAAGCTACTTATATCTTGTACTGTGATAATGTGATTTTCTATCCATATATGGTTCACTTTCACATAGAAGGTCTTCTATCGGCAAACATGAACAGCTTGGTTTCTTTCTTACAGTTCAAAGATAGACGTAAGGCGATCATTGCAGCTCTTACCGAATCAAACGCCCATCCTATCTTTTCGGCTATCTCCCGGTGTGATCAATTCATTTATGATATACTGTGACGTGTGAGGTCGGATGGATCCGGCTTTGAATATCAAGGGGCAAAACATAAAATTGGACAAACACCTCAATTTACTTGACTATCTCATAGATAGAGTGGAATATAAATTGACCAGGATTCTATCACTAACCTCGCTCGCAATTCATCAGCCCTGTCAGTTGGCCTTCCGAGCACTGCTCCCAATCATTGAGAATGCTGATCAATCGCCCGCGAGAAGCCTCCAATGCTTGGTTGAGATGATCAAATTGAGATAACTGCTCGTCATGATGAGCCAGAAGCAGCCCCTTTTCATTCTCCAACCGTGCATTCTCCCTTGTCAACTCCTGGTTGGTCTGTACGAGCCTCTCACAGCCAATATGTTTCGACATGCATGAGTCCCACAGTCGTCGGTAGAGCCCAAGGATCCGGGCTGCTTGAAAGGCGAGTTTGGGATCATCCCGTTCAAGCTCTGTAAGAAGCTGTAGTATCGGCTGGAAGGGTTCTGCTGCTGGAGTTTGTTCTTCGTCGGCTGGAGGCTGGGAGACCGGCTGCGTTGATTAGCATCGTGCACGACATTACAGCTCAAATAACTCTCACCTGAGTAGGAGTTCCTTCAGCTGTCAATTCCGGGTTCAGTCGCTCATCTGGACCTGAAGTTGGATCGGAGTTGGTCTTTTCGTCCCCTTGTATGTCGTGGCACACAGTAAAAGCATCCATTTCTCTGTTCAAAGTAATATATTCGAGAACCTGGATATATGCAGTATGGATGGCTTAAGCTCGATTTCATCTAATTTATAGCCACGAAGATCGATGAAGCTAGCAAATTCGGTTCTCCATCATGCTCAACGCCTGATCATGTTGATAAACCAATCGTGTATTAGCAAGAAATATGTGGTCAACAAATAACACAGTTTGAAAGAAGTGAAGCAACGTTAACTTGGTAATTACTGACAAAAAATGAAGAAATTCGCACAAGAGAAAAGTTTACAAGTGACAGTCGGAATAAGCTTTGGTTGTCTCAGCGTGGAACCATCACCGACACTTCAGCCGTTGAAACAGTGATAAATGAGATGTCGCTCAAACAAGTTTTTGCTATACCTGTAAATTGAACCAACTGGACGTTGTCAAAAGTCTTCCGGGAAAGAAATAGGAAAATGTCCCTACTTCCGCCGATTTGCATATCGACGTTTTCTTTTGTATATCTGCTCGCCGTTTGTATCAAGCTACTGGCGGCCTCAGCCTATCACACACTCAGAATTTTGCCGCCCAAACCTCCCCCGTTGCAGATTGGTTTTTGGATTATGCAATCGCCACTGTCGTATTTCGCTTTCTTCTACTCTGTACAAAGCAGCCATCAGTCACAATGCGATACCCCTTACGTGCAATTCCCGAACGATTGTTTCCAAATGAATTCGCATTTTTTGAGCCAAAGATCTCTCATGAACGAGTCGAACGACCAATGGCCCTTGATTCCCGAAAATTGCTTCATATCACGTCCTATCTGTGTGCCCTTTCCACAACCGTCGCTTGGGATGTTTAATCCAGGAGATACCATGCGGCAGATCCGTCGAAATGATCTCTTCGGTTGCGGCTTTCAACGACCAGGACACTTTCCCGATCTTAGATTCATCCATTGCGAGCCGATCCCTGTCATTTATTGGCTTGAACATATGCCACATTCGTATCCTTTCGGCCCCTCGCAGCCATTCTCCAAGCCTAATGCCTGTGAGGCAAAGGTTGCCCCTACCTGCAACCCCTGTTCTATGCGACTTGACAGCAATGAAGTGCTTGCAATGAGCCCAGTTTCTCTAGGGCCTACAAACGCCACGTCTCTGTCTTCCTCTCAGGTACCTCCGGACTGGAGCTTCCGGAAATTACCACACAAAATACCCCAGCGGCAGTTCGAATGCACATACCCGGGCTGTGACCGCCAATTCAGGCGCCGAACGGCCCTCGAGCGACATCTGATATGCCACTCAGATGAAAGACCATACGTATGCTGGGTGCCAGAATGTCATCGTAGCTTCAAACGCTCGGACAATTTGAAAGCTCACTACCCGACTCATGCCAAAATGGGCGGTCGCAACCGCTATGTAGCAACCTTGGACAATACGAGTCCTGCCTACAACCCTAAGTTTCGCGGTCGATTGACATTGGAGGGCTGGCCAGCTTTCTAATATCGAGAAGATTCAAGTTTTTACCTAGAACACGATGCTTATGTTCCGCAATGACCACCCCTTCCATTTCATGGCTTGCGTCTGAGGTCCCGGCCGCCTTAAAGTATGAAATGTTTCCCCCAAGACGTGAGATGAATTTGTTTTTGCCTCCCAAAGGATTTTTCTCGCCTGCCGCCGGTTGCAAATAAATAATGTATAGCCAGATTTTAATGTAATTCGCGTGTGATGCATACAGTAAATATTGATATACTAACCATGCTATCAATTCAGCGGTTTCTAGAACCATTCTCTGGAACCATAAACCCCAAAAGAGGTTGCCCATCCCGATAAATGTAGTGACAATGATTAAATGATCGACCTATTGTCAGGAAATTATACTAAAAGTAAAAAGCAGCATTAGATTAGACACGAATCAACCAATTTGTGCTTTGAAACTTTGGCTCCCTTTTGTCAAATCCATTGGATTGAATATTCGTGTTATCTCAATAGGAGCAGGACTCTCATATAAGCTTCAGGCATACAACGAATTTTTATTTTATTTTATTCCATTTCATCTCATTTCTGTGCTAAAAAGGTAGACTACTTGTGAATTGTGAATCGGAGACCTGGGCAGCGAGGTGCAAGAAAAGACCCGTGCTGGGCTTAGGGCTCCATAGTCAAATGGTAGTCTTGATTGATAGAACAGAAGTAGCATAGCCTAGCAAAAGCTTTAAAAATCAAACACGTTTTTGTGTTCAGCAATCTGTCATGTTCGAAGAGCTGTTCGGGCCCGAGGGAGTAGTCGGGGCCGCCGATAGTGCTGTTACTGACACATGTTGGTTGTGGCAGACGAAGAAATCAGTTGGGATTCAATGCCTTTCGTCAAAGTCCTTGATTTATTGCTGGCGGTACACAAGCTTCCCTTAACCAGGGGCTCCACGACCTTGTAACTTGCCGCATCCCCTTCTTCATTGTGGAAGTTGATCAAGCCGCTTTGATGTACCTCAACCCATGCGGTACCCTGATCAGAGCCACATAGTATGGCTTTAAAAGACGACGAATTGGAGTGTGTGCCTTTGGTTTCTGGGTTGAGGTCTCAAAGATGTCAGAAAAATTTCTCCTAGTGAATAGATTGCGTTACTGACTGGAACATGATATGCCGTCAAGAGGCGCAAACGACTCGGAGATCCCGGTGCAGTCGAAGTTCCCCGTGGAATACACAAAACATTGGTTATTATGGTCAATGATCTGAAACATTCCACCAAAGACCATCGAGATAAGCGAAGAATAAATAAACAAACGATACATGTCTTTTTCGCTTTGGAGATGGGGTGTCTTCAGCAAAACGGGATCTGTCTTGCTCTTCCAAGCAGGAATTTTGCGACACGCCCGAAACTACTTATACTTACGTTTCGAACAAAGCTAAAGGGAATTTGGAGCATATTCTATTTCAGATACGTTTTACAAAGTCATCAAAATCTTGACTTGGCTCAAGAACTCATGCCAAATGTATGTATCAAGACTTTTCTGTGATGAGTTGTCGTGGAAATTTAAATCGGACTCTATTCACTTATCAGTAGCTAACATGCCGCAAGCTTTTATTGTTCCCATAAAATTGATACAATAATTTTGGCTATCTACTTCAAGAGACAATCATCGGTACAAGTTTTAATGCGCCCTTTGACTACGGTCGTACCGCTCCCTTTACAATTTTGCGGCCGCTCAAGGGGTGTACAAGTTACCAGATAGAACCTCAAAACCCCTAAGAAACCTATCAAAGGATCCTTGAAAGAAAAAAAAACTCTCAGTCTCCAAGATCTGTTCCATCAGTAATAGCAGGTTTTAATTACCGGCCGTGTGAGGTCACTCAACAGGATCTTCCCAGGTAACCGCAAACGTTTCCCACAGTACCTTGCTGATAGAGTCTGGCTTTCTCGTCTATCAAGAGACATCTTTAGGATTTCGCGTGGCTCCTGCTGAAGAAAATCAAGATTTCACAGTCATAATACTATAGTCCGGCATCCCAACTATCGGCAGTATATCAAGCCTCTGATTTGACAGATTGAGTGTCCGAACTTGAAACAGTCATCCTCCGAAGCTTGAGACGGCCAAAATTTGAATGAATATGTTACTCACTTACTGCATATTCTTTTTTGGTGCAGCTGCAACAATTCTCGGACAAACAGTCAGCCTTCTATTGCCGGGATTTCAAGGGCGTGAATTGGAAGCGAGCATATTATCTATGGTATGTTTATCTACCGCATGTGAGGAAATGCCGAGATATTAGACTACAAGAATCCGAATTAACTTCTTATCTACATCCTAGGACAATGAAGCGACAACACTACTTGTAACTTGCCCTCAAACCGTCATTGCGCCTAACTGCGGCGTTTCCGAAGCAGGAATGACGGCTATCCTTAAGAAGAACTCCGTACAGCTGGTGGATGTCAACAAAAAGAATAGGTTGGTACCCTGATAAACTCGAAGAATTTTTGATATTAATGAATCATTGCAGCACCGCGTCCCTGTCGTGTCATATTACCGGAACAACTTACGCATCCTGCTATGCTACCAACGAAATTTCGGTTCACGCCACACTCGCTCCGAAAGACCTCAACTGGATGGCACTACCAGTTATGTCCGCGACATCAACTACAACAGGTGCACTAAGCTCCTCAATCTCCACCCAGCAAGTTATGATCACATCTCCCGTGAAGCTGCCATCAGGAACAGAAACGGCTGCTACACCGGCAGCTGAGAGCCAAGGAACATTCTGGCTCAAAACCTCATGGGGCTTATACGCCACAATGGGATCGATTATGGCTGGAACTCTGGGGTACACCTTGCTTTTCCCATTGATAGGCTCGCAATTTCAATCTTGACAGTGGCCAAAGTCTGGAAATTCACTGCTCAGGCTCGCTCGAAAGAAACAGCATCTGCAGCTCGTTCTCCTTTGTTGATACCAGTACCATTTCATATCAGTCATGTTGTATAAATGATGATCAGTCTAGATTATACAGAAGGAATCGTGTCACATATAGATACTCAGATGAGCAGGAAGACACGATACGCTACTGTGTCTAGTGAGGGCCATTTCCTGTCCAAAAAAAGAAGTCTCTTTTTCTGCTTAAGGGTGCCGAAAGATAAGATTTTAGAAAACTTTCGATGCAGACGTCCTTGATTTGAAATCTTTTAAGTTGTGTAACAGAGCCAGATAGGCGTATTTCCAAGTTCATAATCATGGACCGGACGTAAAGAGTTCTCCCAAGTATGGCTTTTCCGGGACTCACAACACTCGTGCAAGTATGAATTCCGCATACGCAATATTTCAAATGTGTTCGATGGGGTTTAAAGTCCCTGGACAGAACTACAGTGTTGTTATAGTAGTTACAGTACTGCAGTGCTAGGGATGATAGAATTTCGAAGAAAAGAAGTTGAGCTCCGAAGCAAATACACCTGATCTTTGAACCCCTGGCGAGGCACTTTATCCATCGGTAACCTGCTCCGAAGAAAACGCGAGACAGACCGACTTGCCATCCAGTTAGATGAAACTGACTTCAATCTGAGTATTCGTCTCGGTATTGCATAGAAGGCTGGTGGTGAGCATTCGATATTGAATAATGAGACGGCATCCAAAACTTTCTCGTATTAGATACATGACCTTGGCGAAGAAGACAGATCCTCGCTCACATCATACTCAGGCGGCATCTCGCGCTCCCACGATTGCCACAAGACCAAATACTGTACCACTGAAATTCCATCTTCGGAGATCAAGCGAGAGGCAATGGCGCTAATCGGTATCTTTTTGCCGACCTGGTTGCTCCCGTTAGCTCGGCAGCCCAAAGAAATCCCATGGGCACACTTACATTGCTCGATGTCTCCTGACCATCCATGAGGTGGTGTATGCAGGGAAGACTGGATCCTAGCGACTCTTCGTCGGAATATGTGGCATCATCGCTCTCTGATGCCACAAATCTGCGATCCTCGCTGGTTTCCGACATGTCACCTTCTGTAGAAGTAGAATCGTTATCCGTCTCTTCAATATTCAGGTCTCCGTAACTGGATAGGACCTCGAGGATCTCATTGTCACTTTCCTCTCTTTTCTCTGGCATCTTTAAAATGAAGTGCCACAATTGACTTGGATATTTCGAGCAAGGCAGAGATCATCTCAATTTATAGAATCATGGGCGTGCGGTAGTACTCGGTAGCTTGAGGTTGAAGATATGTGATGATGGGTGAGGAACACAATGCTAAGTTCTAAGAAGAAGCAAAAATAATTTTGCGATGTGTTGGCAGGGACCATCACTGGGCATTAAGATGGTTGAATCACGGAAAGCGCTGACCCACCAGAGGCCCCTGGTTGGCCCAGATGACTCGTGACAAATCATTTGCCTCGTCAACGTTGGTGACGCGGGTGAAACGAGTACCACCGCGGTCAGTCTGCGAGTCGGCCAGAGACAGCGTGTCGTGGACTCATCTCAACAATGACTTGAACTTGATTGATGCACACCCCAATTCTGTAAAGATATTGATTCCTGTCGACAACTTGGGTGTAACTGTTGCGTAATGTTGAGCACCAACTGTCGACTGCAGAATCGTCGCAAGGCCATGACTGAAGACATCAATATATGATCAAAGTCCTCATACCATCTTGAAGCCAGGCGGCGATGGAAAATCTGTGGCACGGCCCATGATGATACACACACCTAGGTGGAAGGGAAGGCGCAGTCAGCCGCAGGATTGGTGGTGGTTGACCATCGTTCTTCCATTAAGATCCTTTGCTTGGCTCTATCTTGATATCATGACGTTGGTTACCGTTATCTAGTTGGCCATGCATTACCGTACCAGAGCTATGCGCTAGAGTTACAGAGGGGCGGAATATAAATAGCCGACAAAGAGCCTAGATTCTCAGGGACACCTACCTCCCTGCAAAAGGATGGCCGACTGCATGGAAATTGACTCCAGTGACGATAGTCGCGAGATGACTGATGCGAATCAGCAACTTGAACGCGAACTTCTTCAGTGCCAGAAAGGTTCATCTCCAACTGCTGTGCATTCGCGGCGAATTGTCTCGCTCGGGGTTTCTCCTCATTACGTGAGTCACTGGACCTCTACCGATGCCTTTCGGGAACTATATCAGAATTGGTATGTGTCTATCGTCTTGTCGGATCATGGGACTAAATCAAAAACAGGAAGGACGCCATATTGGAACGGTTCCAGATCGATCGAATCGCCTTCCGGCCATACTTCGTCGACGCCCGCGATTATTACGCCGTCTTGGTACCAGACCCCGCAGACCCCGAGGGCCGCCGATCCCTGGGATTCATCAAGTATGACAAAAAGTCCAGTCGGGTCACTTTGGCGAACGCCTGCCTGCAATTGCCCTTCGAGGCTCTCGAGTTGGGCTTCACGACCAAGGGCGACCAGAACCACCTGGCGGGTTCCCACGGCGACGGACTCAAGCTGGCAGCCGTGGCCCTGTCTCGGGATGGATATAGATTGCAAGTGGCGGCCAGCCGGTGTTCCTGGAATTTTTATTTGCGGGAGCCATGCAAGTCTCGCCTCCATTGCACCATCACCCCATCGCGCCAATCTGGGTCCACCCGGACGGACTGGGCCGAAGATATCGCCGGACTGCGCTTCCACCCCGAGCGAGATGTGGCCGTGCTCATCGGCCCCGGACGCACCACCCAGGGTCGGCCGGTGGCACCTGAAGAATTTCTTGAGTGGCTGCAAATATTGTTGGATATTCGTGGCCTCGCCTACCCGTCCTCGGTTGTCGAGACAAGCCACGGGGACCTGCTTTTTGACCAAAACCTCCTTGGTAGGATTTATGCCCACGGCGTGCTAATATCTGGAACAAACTCGATTTACCCGTTCAAAGTTGGTTATAACTTTACCGAGGGGAAATTCAATCGCGATCGGCGATGGCTCATGGACCGGCATGGACTGGCAGAGCGAGTGTGCCGGATCTGGGAGTCCGCCCTTCAAACGCACGAGGACGTCCTTCTTCCGATATGCGTGAGCCTCCTCCGAAAGACACCAGCGCTGATGGACGTTAGTCTGGCTGCTGATTTGCTCTTACCCTCGACGATATCCCGCATCTGGACCTATTTGCTACACGAGTCCAAGGGCAAGGACTTTTTCTATTGCGAAACATCCGGAGCCCAGGTTTGTCGGAAGTCCAATATCCGTATCCCTTGTCACAGGCTAACGCAAATCTAGGATGTCAAGATGATACGAGAGACCATTGGAAAAAGGCCCATGAGGCTGTCACGAGAATTGTGGCGCCTACTGCGGTCGACTTCGCCTATCCGCAGTGCTGCGGAAGAACTTTCAATGCTTTTCCAGCATGCCGAGGTCTGTAGCCCCCCAGATACCACCTTTTCGAGAACCGTGCGGAAGGCACTGAGAGCATGTTTTGCCTTGCTGCATTCGATGCAGGAGATTCAAGTGGTTTACGTCAAGGGGTTCGATAGTAGGGCGGATGTTGTGTATACTCCTCAACAAAGGACACTGAAGGTCCACCGCCGATGGCTGGACTTTGACGATACACATCAGCGAACGTCATGTCGGAACTGGATTCTTCGTAGTGCGAATAAAGAAAAAAGAAAGCGCGAACCCTTCTTTTGCGACCACATCATTGAGGAGCTCTTATCTCTTTCCATCTCGTCGGTGTTTGGAGGCTGTCAGACCCCTCGGACCACCGAGATGAGGTATATGCGCCATATCCGACGTCTACTCCGGTACATGCCACACCAGATCACTTTGGCGCCCTCGGAGCGCGGCTTGACGGTTGCTTGGGAAGATAATGAGACAGAGCTGTTTCGGAAGCATAGTCTCGATGGGGCGGCGTATCATGTGATACTACACGAGGAAAGCTGTATCGACATGAAGCAGGAGCTCCTCCACTCGGACCCAGGTAAGACCCTCTCGATCGTCATTTAGGACTGACAATTAATTCTGATACTTGCCATATAGTTCTGGACTCGTCGGACCTTGCAGTCTGCGGGTGCCGTCAGCAGTTCGTTCCGCAGCGGACCAAGCAATGCCTGTTCGCAGACTTGGATGAATTCAAAAGGTACTACGCGATGGTTTCACTCAACGAAAGGTCTGCATTGTACGGTCTAGTACCGGAGTCTTTGTATCCCCTAGCGGTGGCGGAGATTGGACCCTCCGTTGTCGTTGGCGATCAGCCTCTCGGTGATGTCCAACACAGGCACGGGCCAATCGATTGTTCGGGTCCGCCGCGGATCAAGAGAAAAACAGCTTCATCTGCCCAAGAGCCGAGAAGCAAAAGACGGAAGTATATGGACTGAGCAAGTCATGTCTCAAATCACCCTCACATTGCTATCGCGTTTCGCTGTCCTCGAAATAACATGACGATTAATGAGAGTTGTACAGTAGCTCACTTTGACAAGGAGTGGATGGTCCATGACAGGCTACATATTGTTCATTTAGCTCTGTGCCCTGGCCAATATCCTCTCTAGGTAACCTTACCAGAGCATGATGAGAGTTACCGGCGTAAGTTTTGGGCATCTCCTGGCGCTCGAGAAACTTAAGCGAGGTCACAGAGAATCGGTCATTCAGACGAGTCAAAATGACTGGTTGACTGGATTCGGCCGACCTAACAGAAATCACACATGCAAAGGATTCTTGGCCTTAGAGAAGGATAGAAAAGTCAAACGGAACAAATTGCTGTCAGGTAAGCGATAAGGCCCATATGGGTGAGGTGCTTCGTATAGCGGACGAACGGGATGTATAGTCGGCTTAGTCCACCTGTACAGAACCTCGACTAGTTGCTTTCGGAACGGCTTGATGATGAACCGTCATAGCTACTCAAATAAGACTGCGGGTAGAAATCAGGACCAAGATTCACGTT